GTCTTTCAACTATGCATTACCCCGAAATATTTAATGTGCGATAGGATTTGATTTGGATAATACACAACTTCATTACAGAAGTTGTCAGACAGGAAGAGGTGGAGGCTTTGGCTCCTTTGCAAGGGTGAGTTAAGGTTTCAGGCCCTGGAGAGGCAGCTGAAGCTTTTAGCAGCTGAAGCAAAGATGCATCTCTTTTTTTCCCTCATTTCCTATCCATATAGATGGTTTGACATTTTGATCTCTTGCTTCACTAGCCCAGCACCCTTTCAAAAGAACCAGCTTCTCCCCTGTTAGAGGTTTCTTAAAATGATCAATGCTGATGTTAACACTTACTGTCACTAGTTTTCAGAAGTAGCCCTACCCTTGCAATGAATGGACCATGTGTTTGTATCCTAAGAACTTCACTGGTTTATGTTAATTTATAAGATTGTAACCATAGATTATGAAGGCAAACATGATTTTTAATTAAGTTTAGATTCTTTTGTTAAATTCTATCAATTTTGAGATTTAAAGGGCCAGAGCTATATTATTACCCCCACTGTACTGCTTCTCTCCCCCACCATATTCCTAAACAATTTTAGAAATAGTACTGAATGGTATCTGAGGTGGAGACTGACCACTGTGAAATAGTTTATATGATAAAGGGAAGAACTGTGTGTGACTATTAGTGCTTGCAAAAGGGAAAGAGTATACTTCAAAAAAAATAGTATTTTGATGGGTTATGCCATGGTGTGAGAATGAGCAGAGTGCGTTTGGATCTAATATCTGCCCTGCAGCTGCCAAAAGAAAAAGCTTAACTCACACAATTGTTCAGCAGTCAAGGTAGACCATCTTACCTAACCTGATACCAGCCCCCAGCCACTGCCTGAAATCCCCCTTTTTCCACTCTATCATTTTCAAGTTTATCTTCAAGGCCACAGTTGTCTGACCTGTTTTTGTACCACTTTTCTGTCCGTCCCCCATCTACCAAAGGTGTTGGTTTTGATGCTTCTGTTACCCCTGTTATATTTAGACCTACCCCAGACCCCCCATCTTAAGCTGCTCTAAGCCACTATCCTTTTTTAAGAGAACCCTTTAACTTCCTTCTCCACTGTCTATAAGAAGCCTGGCACATTTTAAAATTACTCGCTCCATCATGCTGAGTTATTCCTAACAAATCTTATTTGTTCCTTTCATCCTTCCCCAGGCTGCACATGTCTAAAACTGGGGTGTAGCCTCATCTGAGATTTTCAGTGTCTTAGGTGATGTAGAAATCCACCTTTACTAACATGTTTTTGCTGTAGTGGGAGTCACCCACCACATGCTGGGATATTAAAATAAAGAAAAGTGGTGGAAACACATCACATGGGATTTAAAGTGACTGAACAAAAAATTAATATAGGAAATAATCTTGTAATAGACTAAAAAAAAACAGGTATTTTCCATGTCTACCTTCTGATTCTATAAATTAACTAGACTACATCTGGCTTTAATTGGTGTGTATGGTAAGATTCTACCTTCCATCTCCAACACAAATGTTCCCAGTCAGAATGCATCAACTGGTTAACAAATGCTTCATTTGGAGATTAAGAATGTGAGTCCTTTACATCAGCAACACAGAGTGAGCTATGCCTATGATAAAAAACAATAGTGCATTCATTGGTGACATACAATAAGTCACCACTTTTAAGAGAGGATTATGCCTAAGAATTAGTTAATTTGGATCATTTTCACTTACCAATGTATGCTGAACCCATTCTCCTTAAAACCCTTTCTTGAAGGAAATATATACTTACATATTTTTTAAAATGTGCTATCTGTACAATACTTAACAGCTGTAGAGCAAAGGAGTCAGAATAAAGAACAAACATTTTAAAAAAAGTATCAAATTTATTTATGTAATGTAGTTAGTTTTGAGTCTGTTACATTTTAAAACTATCAAAACTGTATAAATACCAAGGTGTAACCATATTGAAGACAAACACTGAAGACTTAATCCAGTAGATCATAAAAAGGCGAGAACACACTTTACATTCTAACAATACTTGTCTTGAGCAACACTCAGAAGAAAACTTGCGTCTGATGAAGTGGGCATTCACCCATGAAAGCTTATGCTCCAATACTTCTGTTAGTCTTAAAGGTGCCATAGGACCCTCTGTTCCTTTTAACAGATTCAGACTAAGCCGGCTACCCCTCTGATACTTGACTCAGAAGAAAGCCAACTATTACACCTCACTGTTTCACATCTAACTCTTACCTAAGGGCTAGTCTACACTGGCAACTATTAACGTGCCTTGTATGTAGTCAAGGTGCAGTGCTGAGAGCTCTCCCAGCGCTTAAAAAAAAACCCCACATACAACCCACCTCTGAGGGCATAGCTCCCAGTGCTCGTGCACTGTCTACATTGGCGCTTTACAGCACTGAAACTTGCTGTGCTCAGGGGGTTGTTTTTTCACGCCCTCGCACAAGAAAGTTGCAGCGCTGTAAATTGCCAGTGTAGACGAGCCCCAAGATTGATTTAACAAAACTTCTTGTTTATTTGTATTGGTATGTATCATCTCCTATTCACTTCCACCTTTCAATAATAGAGAGCATCTGCTTTCATAGGTGTTTATCCTTTACATACTCAGTGAAGAGCTAGGCATGAGAATCCAGTATGACAAACCACAACTCTATTTGCTCTGGTTAAGAGACATGTTATTGGAACAGGGTCTAAAACTTGATTGCTACTACAGGATCAGACCCATTGGAACTATAGTAGTAATAAAAATTAAGATTTGCTAAAGCACATTAAACTACCCATTTTTCACTTTTACTATTATTCTTTGGACAGAAAAATCTGAATAAATTAAATCTGTTAGCCTTGGCTCCAACTTACTTTGCATGTTTACAGCACTAGAATCACATGCAGCTTTTGTTTCTTTTCATTAAGCCATCCTCTCAAAGCTGGTAATATCCAAAGCAGTTCCTCTGCTGCTCTAGAGTTACTGTTGTCATCACCTAAACCTAGAATGATATTTAGTTATTTGCCAAATGGATCTCCACATTCATTTTTGTGAAGCATATTGTAGGCAAGAGCTGTTCACATTGGGATATTGTGAAAATGAAGTCATTTGCCTACTGCTTGGTTGTAAAAAGTTTCCTTCTGTGAACTATCCAAAAGAGGCTCAGTCGGCTACTGATAGTCCAGGAAGCTGATTTTGAGAGCCACTCATGAAGAATTTAGTTGAGTTAATATGAAATGCTAACACTGTTCATATAATAAAACAAACTCCTGAGAGCACAAAGCTGACAACTGTTGCAGAAACAAGGACTGCTATTCCAGGGCCAAGTTGAAACCAGGGAAAGAAAAAAAAAAAAGTAACTATAATGAATACAAATCAACAGTAGAAAAAAAGGCTGTATAAAAACAAAGTTTCTAAGCTTCTAGAAAACCAATGATTGCAGTATTTTTAGGAAGTCAGACATTTTAATTTTTTCTTCCATAATTTAATATTGACATGTTTGAACAATTGCTAAAGCAGTTCCAATTTAAAAAAACAAGCCCCTCCCCGCCACCGATGCATTCATTTTAGTGTATGGCATGTAAACATACAAAAGTAAACTCATTGGAAAGTGATATCTGGTTGAAATATACACATCAAATGCCATTGCAGATTAGACAGAGATATCAACACACATTGTTTAAGCAGAACATTTCAGTTGAAATGTCAGTTCAAGAAGATTGTTGGAGGAAGACAACACCACACAAAGATATAAGTGTACAAGAATGCTTCAACAAAAGCACTTATTTGCACAAGGAAAGCATTTTGCCTCGCTTAATCCCTCTTTGTTCGTTTGGCTTTTGCAATATTTTCCTGGCGTTTCTGTTTCTTCTTTTGCTCTCTCTCTCTGGCCTCAATCATTTTTGCCAGTTTCCATGATAGCACTGCACTTGCTAGGAACAATGGTGTAAGGGCCAAGATCACAGTGGTAAGAAAGCCATATGGGTCCTTCGCAGCCCATTCCACAACATATTCAGCCCACGCTTTGATATCAAACATCTTTTCTACCATCCAATTGGGGAAACCCTATGTAAAAATTGAATGATAAAATCGTTTCATTACATAGTCATAAAAATACTGCAAGTTACCGTGCCTATGCAGTGCAGTATCAATATCTGTCCCCGTTACACAGTTATTCAGGGTGCTTCACGTTTATTTAGATAGAGGGTGGGAAGCAGAACTCAGCTGTTACGATCGTTCTCCAACACATGCTTGCCACCCACCTCTCACCTTTCCTATTCAGACCAGTAAATAACGGATTGTTCCCAGATGGGTTGTTTATGCAGCCAAGTTCGTTTTCTTTTAAACTCTTGTTCCAGCCCCGGAGCCGGCGGGACCTCCCAGTGGTTTCTCCGCACCCCAGAGTTAAAAGTCCCAGGCCTAGCCTATCTGCTGTCCACGGTAGACGCGGGATTGGTAGCGAGGCGATACAGGGAATGCGGCTGGGGTTCGGCCGGGGGAGCCCCGCGCTGGGGCGGGAGCTGCGGCAAGGGAGCAGCGTGTCCGCTCCGACTACCCGTACCTGGAGCGGGGCCCGGGTAGGAGCGAGCCCCTCACTGCACAAAGAACAGGAGTACTTGTGGCACCGTTGGAGGCGGAGCCGACCCCCGCAGCGGGCTGAGGAGCCCACAGTGTCCCCCTCCCCCAGCGTGTCGGGTCACGCTCCCTTCCCCCGCCCCAGCGCGCTGCAGAGCGCAGGCAGCAGCACCCGAGGGGAGGGGCTGACTCAATCACTGCCCCGTGGCGGGCGAAGGGTCGGCTGGCGGCGCCTCCTGCGCGGGAACACGGGCCCAGGAGCCCTCGCACTAGAGCCCGCCCAAACCCCAGGGAAGAACTGACCCCTCCTCGCGCTGCCTCGCCGGCTCCAACGGCGACTCCACAACCAGAAGCCGCGAGGACAGGAGACTCCCTGGCCAACCGGAAACAGGAAAAGGAGACAGCGCGGCCGCGGCCCCACCCCCGCCGTTACGCCTATGTCTGGCGCCGGCTAGAGTGTCCCTTCAGCCAGTGTTTCTTGGAGCCTGGACTGGAGTCACGTGATTGCGGTCGGCGGCGATGTCTCTGCCATTGCTCTGTGGGGGCAGAGGAGTGCGCGGGGCACTTCCGGGGCAGCCGGTAGGTAAATAGCATGCGCGTGGCTGTTCGCGCGGGAGCAGTCTGTCCGTCAGCTAGTTCACGGGAGGAGCTGGCTCGTGCTCGTCGTCTCTCGCCGCGTGGGGCTGAGTGCGGACCCCCTGAAGGAGGAGCGGAGACAAGGCTCCCTCAGGGGGGCGGGAGGGGTACAGAGTCCGTCCCCCCCCACACACATTAACGTAGTCTGGCAGATAATGAGCGGGGTGGGGGCTGCAGAAGCCCCTTGGAAAAGCAGAGTCTGCGCTGCTCCTTTGGGCGCTTTGAAACTGAGCCCGTCAGTGACAAATACCCCAGTGTCGTAGGCGGGGGTGTAACCCTGGGAGACTAACGGGTAAATCATCAACACCCCAAATTCCGCTGACCCCCCCCCCTCCTCTGACTTAGAGCAGGAAAGGAAACACATTTATTCTCCCAAAGCGCCGTGATCCACTCACTTTATACACCAACGTGCAGTGTGGTGGGACCTGTCGGCTCATTTTAGAGGGGTGTGTGCGAATACCTTGTTTGTAATTGAACAACAGCTGATATTCTGCTCTATGTAGTGCTAATACCACCACGCCCATCACTGTAGCCTTCCCGTAGTGCATTAAGCCACGTGACGAACATCTGTGATGTGTTTGTTCTCTCATCGTCTCCCCTGGGAGAGGGGTGCATGCAGTAAAGTCTTGTTTTGGAATTTTTTAAAATCTATGTATACACACGTTGCCATAAATCCAAGAGGGTTCTGTCTCCTTTAAAAAAAGGCACAACAGGCCAACTACTGGACCTCCAAGTTAAATTAGTTGAACTTCCTTGTGGTCTTGATGTGGTTCAGAATCCTAAAAGTAGTAGTGTATTGTTGCACATAAAATGGATGCAAAATGTCAACAAGTGGGGAAGGTAAAGTACATTTGCCTGGAATATTTTTGTTATAATAAAAGCCTACAGTATTGGTAGATAGAACAGTGTGTTAGACCCCACTCTTGCTTACACTTACACATGCTTAATTTTACCACTGTAAGTGATCCCATTGATTGCCATGGGGCTGCTCATGGTAGTAAAGCACATGCCTTAGTGTTTGCAGGATTGAAGCTTTAGCATGGTGGATTCCGAGATCTTGCAGTTTACTTGAACTAGATCGATCTGTTTAGCAATTTCTATTCCCAGCTTTTGTGTGCTTGTTTCTCATATATATTTGTATTATTTAAAGGGCACCACATGAGGAACAAGTAATGACTGTGCTTTACCAAAGGACATAGTAATTGGAAAGAAATCTGATTGATCTAAAATTCTTTCCACTGGGTATGTGTTATACATAAATCTTTGCTACATGCAGATCTTTGTCACAGAATAATTTATGCATTCTTAAATACAAATTTAAAATTTTCTAAGGCAGTACTGTCCAGGCTATGCCTGTAATATCCACTGAAAAGCACAGTCTCACTTCCTGTACTAACAACAAGGAGTCCTTGTGGCACCTTAGAGACTAACAAATGTATTTGGGCATAAGCTTTCATGGGCTAAAACCCACTTCATCCGATGCATGGAGTGGAAAATACAGAGGCAGGTATAAAAACACAGCACATGAAAAGATGGGAGTTGCCTTACCAAGTGGCAGATCGATCCAATTCAATTAAGGTGGAAGTGGGCTATTCTCAACAGTTGACAAGAAGGAGTGAATATCAAGGGAAATCACTTTTGTAGTGCTTATGAGTTCAATGTAATCAAGGCAGCCCATTTCAAACAGTTGACAAGAAGGTGTGAGTATCAGTGGGGGGATTAGTTTTTGTAGTGACCCATCCACTCCCAGTCTTTATTCAGGCCTAATTTGACAGTGTCCAGTTTGCAAATTATTTCCAGTTCTGCAGTTTCTCATTGGAGTCTGTTTTTGAAGATTTTTTGTTGAAGAATTGCCACTTTTAAGTCTGTTATTGAGTGTCCAGACAGATTGAAGTGTTCTCCTACTGTTTTTTGAATGTTATAATTCTTGAAGCCCTTATATAAGCACTGGAATCTCTTAACTTTTCTCTAAGTGTCTGTCTCTTTGTATAATTTCTTCTACAAATGTCAGGAAAATGCAGAGCTAATCTAAATCAATTGTGTGGTTATTATTTCTAAGATGTTGTATTAGCATTGTTAGATGGTTTACAAACTGCGTTATCTAAGTTAACAGTTTATTATAGCAGGGGAACTACCTGGTTTTGGAAACTAGGGATACCTTAAAATGAACAGGCCATCCATGGCTAAATGATATGTTTATCATCATCATTTCCTGGAAAGCAACGTAACATTATCTCCTTTGGTGACATTCCTGGATGTACTTATTGGAGATAAATTAAAGCAAGTGGTAGCCTAAGAGTACTGTATAATGATACAGGCAAGTCAGGTATTTTGGGTACCCCTGTTAATCTGGCAGATTAGATATCTATGATCCCTTTCTGGTTTTTGTTCAGTTCATTTATTTTTCTCTATTATAGTGATGCTACACTGTCAAAGTACACTGCAAAACAAGCACTAGCCCAGTCAACATCACAACTTTGTACAGAGTGGAGGCCACTTAGGCTCAACACATTCAGAGCTAAATGCAAAACCCACTTCTAGACCCAAGCTTTCCCAAAGCACTACCGTCATTCATACCAATATACATGCTCTTCTTTTAAAATCATTACAGCAAATAGAAAAAATGTCTGTCTCTTGGAGGTGGTGGAATCACAGTGCAGTGTGGGCTTTCACCTTTGCAATGTAAATATTGTGGGAGCTGATCTTTGTTTTCACCAGTGTGCGCCATTCCCTGTAAACTGCAGACATTTGCAGGGGCAAGCAGAGGAGAGAATGGGACCCAGAGGGGCTGGTGCAGCTGCCATGGCACCTGGAATCAGGCCAGGGAGCAGGTAGGAACTGCTCCACCTCTTCTCCCTGACACCCCAACTCCCCATATGGAGCACCCACCCTGACTCCCCTTCTTTTTTGTGTATCAAAGCAGTATGCAATAACTTTAGGGTCTTAAATCTCTACAACCCACACAACTAGGTTACAGCTGGGATGAAATCCCTGCTCTTTTTAAGTCAATGGGACTTAAAACAGCCATTGACTTCAGTTGGACCTGTAAAAGGGTGGTCTGCCCCTTTAAGGAACTACTAGGGCTGTGAGACAGCCAGCGTTCTGCTGAGGCTTTAAGAGCCCCTTTAGGATGTTTGGGCCTGGTGGAGAGGATTAGCAGACCCAGCTGGGAAGAGGCCAGGAAAATTCCTGTAAAGGTGGAAAGAGCTCAGTTGAGAACGGTATCTGCTGGTTCCTGTGATAGGTTCCTGTAGGAGTACTGGAGAAGAGTTTTTTGTTTTACTTTGTGAGTTTTGTATTTGAAGAATAATAAAGGCATGAGAGAGAGAACCTGATCATTTGTTGGACATGGCATCAGTCCTTACTGAGCTGGAGAAACAGGCCAATAGCCCTACAGGGCCAAGATTTCACACTTAGTATCTTTGGGAAAGGAAAATATTTGGCTTTTCAGTGATCACCAGCACTCAGTGATAACAGCTAATGAAACAGTATCAAAATACCACTCAGCAATATTTTATAAACCAATTAACTTCAATAACATTAAATTGCCACCATTTAAAAAAAAATCTTTAACATACTTGAGCAGCATTGAAAGTTTTATTAGGATGGAACCTTGAGTGAACTGACACAGGAGAGGTCTAGCGATATTGTCCATTGTCAAATTTAAAAAAGAATGACTGCACAAAGGAGTGAAATGAGGGCCACAAGATGCCAAAAACTCCAACCATAGTAGAAATGATTGATAATGCAGAGGACGGCACAGCAGTGCTGAGAGTATAATAGTGACATGGAAGATGGAGGAGTCACTTGCACAAAAGCAAAGCAGTCTCATGTAAGGAATCATTAATGAGGATGAAATTTTGAGTGTGTATGTTTAATATATGCTTTCAATAAATTTGTTCATTTTGCTGGTGGTGACATGTTATTGGTGTAGAATCATGTAGAAAACCAGTGCTAAATGTTTCAATCATAATTTAAATGCCTCTCTAGTTGCCTTTGTATCATGCTACTTTGTGGAGCAAATTTAACCCTGGTGTAACTCCATTAGTATGTCCCATTGTGTCCATAAAAATGTAAGTTGACTTTCCCACACAGAGAATAATTTCTACAAAGTTCATGTACTATTTAATTTCATAATTTCCTTGACCTTGTATATTCCACCTGCTGAATAATATCACTCTTGTTTCTGGATGACGTGTCTGAAGCTCCTTTACATTGCATATTGGTGAACATTTTTTTGAAGAACTGTAGACATTAAGTTTATCCTAGTGTCTTTTTTTTCCCCAGCTTGTAATACCTCTAAAGTGTGGATGCTTTATCAGCACTGTCTTGGCCACGCTTGACACATCTATAGTATATGCAGACCAGTAAGCTTTCTGTTTCTTATAGCTGTACTTGAGCCAACAAAACTACATTGTACCATTGGGGATTACAGCCTCTTTGTGTGTGTGCTACAAATCTTTATTTGAAAACATTGTTGTGTTATGCTGAATTGGACCTGCAGTATATCTTTATTCGCTAGATCAGGGGTTCTCAAACTTTTTTTATTTCGGAGGCCCCTGCAACATGCTATTAAAAACTCCATGGCCCACCTGTGCCACAACTGGTTTTCTGCATATAAAAGCCAGGGCCAGCCTCAAGGGACAGCAAGCATGGCAATTGCCCCGGGGCCACACACCACAGTGGGCACTGCAAAGCTAAGTTGCTCAGGCTTTGGCTTCAGCCCTGGGTGATGGAGCTCGGGGCCCTGGGCTGCAGTCCAGTGTGGTGGGGCTTTGGCTTTCTGCTCTGGGCCCCAGCGAGTCTAATGCCAGCCATGCTTGGTCATGGCTCCCCAGGAGGACTCAGACCCCTGGTTGAGAACCACTGCCCTAGATTGCATGAAGAGCCCCTTCCATTTGTGCTATTGCTACCATTTATACAGCTGGGCCTGAGCATCTCAA